ATATCTACCAACATGCAATTTAGATGGTAATGTAATTTTGACATTTTAAGTGCAAAGTCAAAAACAAACGAGCAACATATTTTAAATGCATGTAGTTGCCTAACATTAGCCATTTTATTTCTCAGTGTAAAAACTTGTTCGACCATCAACGACTACCCACAAAAGCTAATTAAATTAACTTTCCAAACAATGTTGAACAAATTGCAAACTAATTTTACTTCTTGTTTTGTAAACATAATGTGGTAAGTTAATCCTATTGACGATACAATATCACTGCCAGCCTGATCATTAGCGAACTAGTAAAATAATTCTATCAATACTAATAGGCCTACTGAATTAATGCTGTTTTTGCTGGGCCAAAGGGTCCTATGTCTAGGTCTGCATTAGATACATATTTAGATGCTGCTTCCAATTTAGGCAATTATGAACATAGCCTACATGTTACCAGCAAAGTAGGAAATGGCGCAAAAACATTTTGTCATTCTCGAAATCGATCACCACTTACCACCTTTTTTGTATATTTACCGTCTTGTGAGTAACAGTATAAGCGTAAATATATGTTTTAAGTGTTATAAGACGTTTCTTTTATTTACTTTCCGTAAAAACATTTTGTACACATTGAATAGGCATTAATTGTATTAAATGCCCATGGACGTGTCAGACAAAGTAAAAATTAATGATATTTGTTTAAAAACCCATTCACTTAACAGTAATTTATTGTGTTTTGTCTATGCTTGCTAGGTTGGTTGATTAAGGTTAGATTGGGTAGAGCCAAAAAAAGAATCAAAAGTATATAGGCCTAATATTTTAAAATAATAAAATACTTTTCTATATAGTTAGGTTAGGTTGGTTATTATATTTTAGACTCCAGCCAAAATTAATGCTAAACAAGGTTACAAAAGTCTAAAAAGTCCTACATCAGCATATTTTTACTTAGCCTGCAGTGCCAAAGGGCATTGTTTAGAATGACTGCGCAAAGTATATCATCATTTTTATAAGCTCCATTTCATTATTTGCCGGTTCATTTTAGGTCATTTATAGGATGCCTTAGAGTCATTCTGTAGAATGGCTGTTTATATACTTTGCCTGAGACAAACTTTTAACAGACAATCTTACTTAATATGAGCATCATGTAGCTGAAAATCCATAATTGATTCATATCTTGGCACATTGTGGGGCTAAAATGTTTAATTTCCTCCATCCTGCAGCCTATAAAATATGTCTATTACGGCTTTTAATCAGAATCTAAAGGTCTTTAGACGGTTAGCGGTAGGCTAAGGTTGAGAAAATGATCATGGACATGAAAGCAGCTTAATCAACATGCAGGACCAGGTCACGTCTACGTGACAAGCTGCATCATCCCTGGTGTCATTATCAAACGATGCTCATCAGTGCTCTTAGAGCATTTGTGTATTACTCACTGCAAGGGTTTGTGAAAATTCCATTTAGTTTCACGGATGTTAAGTTACAGTTATTACAACTTGTTAAATATCCTAATCAGCTTCAACTATCGAGTAAAGAGCGCATAATTAGCATGTTGCAGCTAGTTTGTTTGTAGGTTTCCAAAATAAAATTTGACGTCACAGGGTGTCCACAGAAATTTTGTCATCAATTTCCCTGACTTTCCATGACTATCCATGACCATTAACCATTGATTTCCATGACTCACGAACTTAACTCAAAAATTATAATATACCGTACACACCCGAATAATACTGCCTAGACAAGTTATTTCACAGAAAATATTGAAATATGTATTAACAGACAACAATGGAGTACAATAGGTACAATGAACTAATACAAACTCAAAACCCATAAACTAAGACAACTGTATAAATTGAAATTGTCGTACATTTGTGAAAAATTCGAGAAAATGCTAAAATAGTCGCGGTTACGGCCGACTAGAGCATTGAAAGGTCCCCTGAAATCCATCCATCATTGGGGATTTCCACGACTTTCAATGACTATAATTTTTTTCCATGACTTTCCATGACTATCCCTGACTTTCCAGAATGTGGACACCCTGCGTCAAATTTAGACATGCAACAAAATTAGTCATTGATACACTGGATATCAATTAGGTCTACTAATTTCTGGCTGGTAGGCCTACAAAGCCAAATTGAAAAGATAACTAATAGAAAACTGGGTAACATTTAAAATATAGGTAGATACTTAACTAAAAATAAACGAGTTGAATTTTGACAGCAGCACACTCTGTGATTCAACTGTATGTTCTTTTGAAAAAACAAAAACTAAGTTACCGTACTGTAGCCTACCTAACGCCATAAAAGTTTTACCGTACAACGTTAAAGTGGTGCCTAGGTTTTTGTAATTTTGTAGTGGTATGGTGATTAAAGTAATTTTATCAAAATACTTATTTAAATTACTTAAAGCTTAATATTTTTCCCATGGGGAAATTAGAGAGCATATTTCCTCTAACAAATCATGCAAATATTAGCCAGGCAACACTTGGACTAGTCTGGAGTTCTCAAGCTACTAAGACATATGTTATAATAGAAAAAACATCATATAACACAACTTACTATAGCCATTGACTATACAACGAATAATATACCAGTACACCGAATTCTGTGTATAGGCTAGTAAACGCTATACCTACCATTAAAAATATTAAGTAATATAAGTTAATTTATAAGCCCATAAGAAGGATACAAAGCAAATGACAAATTAATTTTTAACTTCGAGTGAAATTCTATAAAAATTCTAATTTCCCTTTGACATTTTTACTCTTTGTACCATACCCCTATTTTCATTCCAGACCTACTGTATAGGACCTAAACAAAGAGGCAAGATGGAACCCAAGATCCCAGCAATATTAGGTGAGACAGTAAGCACGTGACTAAGTTATTTTGTATGCTTTCTCCAATTTCGGGTAACTTAACTTGAGCTTAGCGTGTGATCAAAAACGTGTGAATTGATTTTTTCTTTAACTTAACCCTCCGAGTGTTATTTGTCGCTGCAGCGACACATTTTGTGTAGTGTTTTGTGTCGCTGCATCGACTCACAAACACTGTTTACGGCGAAGGCTCTATATGACTGACAAAATCGGATTGAAATAGATCGAGTTAGGTATCGTTTTACCCTATTTGTCAGATTCAGAAGCTTTCTCCACAGGTCTGTCTCTAAGCGCTTTTCATTTTAGTTCCAAAAATATTGTAGCAGACAGCTGATGTGCGAATTTGTAAACAGCTTGGTTAACCTCGCACCGATGACTGATGTGTTTTATCACGTTTATCATTGTTTTAGTGTTAAAAATCAAAAGTAGTGATACACGTGGTGCATTATAAGAAGATTTAAGTGATTTTGAAGGGCTGGTTGATGATCCTGAAGAAGTAGGTAGTGATAACTTATTGATGTAAATTATCAGCCAGATTCCTAGCTATGGTTAGGCTATGCATTCTTAGCTAAACGCTATGTACTGAAATCTGTTTTTTGCCCATAACTTATTTATTTGCAAATCTACTTCCTTATTATTATATATTTGTAATCCTCATAAAATTTAGAACAAAGTGGCTATTTTCAAATATTTATAGGCCTATAATTTATACAATTTCATTGAGCGCAAACTTTTTTTTTTGAAAATTTTCCAAAATATTTTTTTTTACCAAAAAATTTTTTTTGAAACAAATGTTCCTTATGTTTTATGTATAATATTGAAGCCCATGATTTTTCAAACAAAATGGTACATAGAACAGTAGCCTATAATTAACATTGTTTTCAAGCTTCTCAGATCCGTTTTAATAATTAAAACCTTGCAAATGAGCAAAAAATAGGCAGACATTAAGGCCAAAACAAGGGACACTCGGAGGGTTAAGCTATCAGCAAGCAAGTTTGGTTAGTTTAGGCTAACTATCGATTAATAGTCTTATCAATATTTTCAATTCGATAGTTTCAATCGATAGGCCTATTTAGCATATTTAGCCCAGTTAAGAAACTGTACCCAGCTACCTAACTTACTGTATTTTTCATTATTTGTTACAAAAGGTTTCGATAAGTTAAAAATAACACATAGGATACGCGTCCGGTTTAGGCGTCCAGCAGTGGCGTCACCGGGTTGTGGGGGCCCGGAACGCCATTATCCAACGATACGATGTTCAGACATCGGTGTTTGTGGTGTAGTGGATAGAGTGCTCGGCTGATATGCAAGAGGTCCCTGGTTCATATCCCATCGATAACTGTAACTTTTTGTCAAAGATTTTGCTTTGAATGCAATTTCTTCTTTAAGTTAAAACTTATTTTACATCTCTTGTTAGAATTGTTGTCATTTATAATTTCATATTTTAAGAACAGAATTTATCCTTCATTCAATTTTTTCACTAAGCAAGTTTGGTTGGTTAGGTTAGGTTATGACAGTAACTATCGGACGCCTAAGTTAATCCACGTCCAGTTAACTTACCGAGCGCGAAACTAATCCTCTGCGTAAAAATAAGTTAAAAGTTTAGTATAGCCTAAGTTAGAAGTGTAGGCCTACCTAGTATGTAACTTAGGCTAATTGGAAAAAGAAAAACTTGGACACGTACGTAGCCTATTTTGACCGGTTATTATGCCACAACATTGAAAGTTAAAATAGCCTAGGCTAGCCTAAATAATCGCAAGTAAGTTTAGGCTTAACAAGTTAAGAAGTAAGTTAACTTCTGAATTATGTAAGTTACCTAACTTAAGTTAAAGGTAGGCGAGTTGATTAATCGACGCACTTAAGTTAATGGGCGTTGCTTATAAAACAGCAAAGCATTATAGATCTACATCCCGAACAAAGGAGAAGAAGATATTATAACCTTGAATTGTCAAATGAAAACGAAGTCAAACCACGTTGACTAACTTATTATATAAAAATGTTACAACCACTAGGCATAGGCCTATGTAATGCTCAAATTAAGGGTCTTACATCCATAGTGTATACTCAAGTACTAATGACTAATGTTATCAAATAATGAAGGTAAAATTCAAAAATATAGCAAGACCGGTGTGACTAAGCTTACCTTGGTCAACAAGCCGCATTGCATTGGGGTACTGCGCCGGATCCAAAGCCATTTTTTCTTTAAGTAGTTCGCGCACATATTCGCCCGCTTTTACGCTATCAGCTTGATTCGTTTCCATGTCGACCGGTTCACTCTTCATTTGGATATCTTCCAATTTACCTTGATCACTATTGTTTTCTAAACCAGACTGATTACCGTTAGACGCAAGCCTAGCCGCCATTTGCAGAAGAGAGAGAGTGACGGAACCGAACGCTTGCTTCTCGAACTCGCAGTGAACTCTGGGATAGATGCTTCCGTTATTTGTCGCAGGAGAGCGCTGGAGCGATTCTGCGCATGCCCTCCCTTTTGTAGTCGATACAAAAGTTTTGATTTGTCCGTCTCTTGCTGCGTGAGCTTTAATACCCAAGTTGATATTTTAAGCTTGTATAATTTAGAAATATTCATAGTAATAATTACACTTTGTCAAAAGTTCTTTTATATTTTAATTAATGAGTAATAGGTCATTGATTATGTATTGCACATTTTATTATACATCTAGTATAATAAAATATACTATTTTTATATATTTTATCCATGAATTCTTTTCGTCATTATCACCATTTTTTCTAAATTATACCAGCTTAAAATATCAACTAACATATTATTTTTTATTGTTTAGAGTAGTAACTTTGACTATTAATACAACAACGTAGTAATTATTCAGTATGTCGCTACATTGGGATTAGGTTGTCAATTTTATATGTTTACTTGCAGTGTTTTCTTTTTCATCCTATCCCAATGTAGTCGTGTGACGTTTGTAGACATACGGAATAATTACCAGAGAGGTTGAAGAGCTTTTTTGGCAGGGCCGGTTTAACCCATACGCAAACTACGCGGCCGCATATGGCGCCACGAAAAAGTGGCGCCGTGGCGCCAACGGAACAATTTTTTTTACGTGAACAACGTAATTTTGTTTATTTTTGCTCAGAGTTCAAGTATTCAAAGCACCACAATAAAGACATTTATTCTGTTTGTACCAACAGCACTTGAAAAATGTGTATATTTGTACAGCACTACAACTGAATGACTCAATGCCATTTGCAGTTTCGATTTGTAGTGAGCTGACGCTCGGCAGTCAGCAGCGTACAGCGCGGCGCCAGTGGGTTTCATTTCACGACTCGCTCATGCTCGAGATAAGCAAGCGCGCAGCGCCACTTGTCACGGATATAAACACGTGACGGCATACGGGAGGGTCGATGGCTAAAGGTGTGGTGACGTCATATCTCTAGTGGCTATAATGTCTTCTCTTGAGGCGACATGAATACCGTAACGGGACAATGTGATTCCAGTGGCGTTCGTGGCATAATTGATAGCGCATCGGACTAGTGATCAGGAGGTCTCGAGTTTCAAGACCCGTCGAGAGGCTGACTTTTTTTCAAAGATTTTACTTTATTTGATTTTTATCTTATATCTTTTTTATATTATCAGCAAGTTTGGTTGGTTAGGTTAGGTTCTGACAGTTTAATTTTATAATTAAAAAGTTAATTTTATTACTAAAAATTATAAAATTAATTTAAATTTTTCGACTTAGCGGTTCTAGCGGCGAACGCTGGCTGACACTATGTTAAGCCATCGTCCCTCCCGTGTGCCCCACCGCCACTTGACACAACATGAAACTTCCCTTCCCTCCCTTCTGCCTCTGGCTCTGATCCTAGAGCAGAGCATTACGTTAGTATTGCACTCTTTTAAAGTTATATACGTATACCGTATCGGTATCGTATTGGCATTGTTTTGATGATTCATGATTGTTGATAAGTATATGATTACGAGTGGTTTAAGTTTAATTTATAATTAGCGCATTAAATAAGAAGAAAGTATAAACTGAATGAATGAGTAAAACATCTTGCGAGCCGATACTAAGAAAACAATGGCAGAAAAAAAGAAACCGTCTGGCACTTATTATAGAAAGCGTAAGGCGAATTTGGAAGAGGAAGATACAAAAAAGAAGCCAAATCAATGAGTAGATTTTTGTTTAAATCATCTGGTGGCGACCCCATTCAGCCCAAAGAAGTCACGATAGAAGACGGCAATGATTTAGGTATTTATTTATTTATTTTCCAAGGAAAGATTAACACAAGCAGCTGATCACAAACGGCAAACATTACGTCATTGCCGTCTTCTATCGTGACGTCATGCTTGATGAGCATTAAAGCCTGTTTTTTTTGTGTGGCCTTGGTTTTGCTAAAGTTTGTATGATGAGTAAAATTGTAAAAATGTTAAATTTCTGCGAATAATAAACAGCCTTTTATTGCAAGTATTCTTCTAACCTAAACTTATTGAAAAATTCTTCCCAAAATTATTGGGAAAAAATTCACAAATACGGTTAAGTTATGTTCATGGTTTGGGGGGGGGGAATTCTAAGTGGCGCTGATTCGGGTGTTCGCTTAACTCTGAAAAATTCCTAGAACCGGCCCTGTTTTTTGGTCTCAAACCATACTCCAGTTAAGAAGAATTAATCTGATCTCTTTTTACTCTACAAGCTGGTGAATGGTCTCCTGGACTGCCCTGCTATCTTGTCCGGCATCTACACTTCACAATCCCTAGAGGAACACGTTCCGAGACCATCTTCCTGAGAAGATACGAGCCCTTTTACTACGCTTATCACCAAGGCACTTCAAGACTTCTAAGACTTTGCAACATTTGTGCTCCTCGGCTGAATTTCTTTATTGTCTCGACCAACTCCTTCAAAAAAGAAGAGAGGCTTCCTGCATTGAATCCCTGCAAATCGGACAGTCAGAAATTTGTGTAGCTGTTCTATTTACCGGATTGTAATTGTTGTCTATTTGTATGAATAATTTATGTGGTATTTATTGGCTAGGTCATTGTTATCAAAGAGCACATTTATTACTGTTACACACACTATATGTTTTATTGTACTTACTGGCTAGGTTATTGTTACCTAAGAGTATGTTTATTGATTATTAGTATTGGTTATAACCCGTTAATGAATGAATAAATAAATAGTATTATCAATCCTACGTGACGTTATAAAGCCATTGCAGTTATCAAAGCAGACACCCCAAAAAACCTACTTATCATGCATATTTATGATATTCAAAGTCCCGTCGTCCATTTCTACTATCTCCACATTACTGCTGTTAATAATCAATCAGTATAGCCCAACCTCAACCTGCAATTGCCTGGTCGTGTGTGATATCTTTACAGTTAGATGGCACCATTGACTATATCCATCAATGATGGTGCATTGTACGACCTTTATAGAAATATTTTATCTGTAAAATCCAGTAAAATCAGTTCCACCAGATGGCCTGGAGTGCACGCCGATTCAGATTCAGATTCAGATTTTCGGTGGCAGATATGGCACTTGCATTCAAATGGAAGTGGCCATATAGTGGATGCCGGTTTCCGAGGCCGCGCGCATCGTAAGGCACCTGCTTACCGGAATGAATTCTTCATTCTGGTTTCAGATTCATATTTTGCTCGTATGTGCATACTATTTTATTAAATAATTTTTTTTATAGTAAAATATTAAATTTTTTAATCCTTACTTTTGGGGTTACCTCTAAAGCGCTCCTCAGGAAAATTGTTTTGTTTGTTTAGAGGTTACACAAGTTTCTTACAATATGATGTCCAATTTTAATAATAAGTTTTGGTGGTTTCGGGCTCCATTCAACGCAATACAGAAAGAAGGCCATCATTTCTAACTATGGGAAAATATATATAATATCATGAACACCATTTTTCAGTGGCTGTAACTTCACAACAGTTTCAGACGTTATAATATTGTACACGTCAATTCCTCATCCGACAATTCCATAACAATGATGACTTGCTTCTTTGCTAACCGAGTCAGTACTGACGGCGTATTTATCCTGCTTCCATTATAGCCCCCAACAAAATATCTGACTCAGATTAACCACACGCCGAAAATCTGAACCTGAATTGGCGTGCACTCTGGTCGTACAGTTATTATTATTTAAAAAGCGGAATTATTCATTAGCTAGTCTCCTAGCCTCCTACGTATGTTTGCTGATTGGATCGTAAAAAACAATTAAGGGTCAAATTCATCGAATTGAATCAATTCCACGTATTTCTAAATCCATCTAAGCTGCAGCCACTGTAGGATTAGAATTGAGTGACCTCTCTCGTGTGACCCACATAGAGTCTAAATAAATATAGTCCAGGCTACACCCGTGATTACACAAAATACATCTCCCAAGATGCTTTGCTACTTAGAGAGCCACCTTGTGGTTGGATTGCATGGTGGCGGCCGGCGGGTAGATGGTAAAGGTACGTGGAGCTTCCGGACCCACAACCCATTTTAAATCTAGTGGTGGTGGGTTGTCGTGGTAGAAATTTGTCGAGGTACTGCCTAGACGGGAGTGTGCACGACAACCCGCCCCCTCAGATAAATGTGTGGTAGAGGGTCGTCGTTGTCACCTCTGGCCGAAACACCGAAGTGGCGGGTTGTCGTCGTGGATAAACATACTCTAGGCTTAGCATCCATATGTATCTGCTTAAGCGAAGCCTGGTTTAAGGCTGGTCTGCCTGGCTTTAAACGAGGAGATTCCGTTTTTGTTAACTTATTTGCTTAGTATAATTCAACCCGCTAAATATTATCTTATTTTAGAAAGGACATTTGAAGATCTATATTGTACAACATTGTTTTATTTTTTTAATAAAAACAATGCCTTATTTTACATAAATAATCATTTACATTGGCTATGCTTTGCGAATCAAAAAATTATGTGTATTATCCACCTCATAATAGAACTTTATCTTTTGTATAATGAGTTTTTGTTCAATATATATGCAAATTAGGTAAGCTGTGTGCATAGAATACACAACGGAGAGCTTATACGTAACAAGATCCAATCTCTTGGCAAAGATACTGTTGGTTAGTTTAATTTAAATTATATTAAAGGCTCGCTTTATCTGTACACTGCATATGTATGAGGCCTTTAATCTATAAAACCGTAGCATTGGGAAATAAGTTAAGTGTTGTAAATGACTCTAGCTTGTGGTACGCTCTTAGTTAACTTAAACAGAGTGTAGTTTTAATCCCCAATCTATAAAATTTAAATTTTGAAGTAATCACCTATAATGTAACCTTTACAAAAATGAAATATTGAATTCGATTTACAAAGGCGCAGATAATTTCCTATTAGGGAGTGGAACTCGTCCTTACACTCGTAATTTAAAACCAACTAATTAAAAATAAATCAGACTCAATTAATTAACATATTTAAATAAACATCCCATAAAACACTCAACATAACTTTATACTG